TCACCTGGACAGGTAACCAGTCTATCACAGGGCTACACTTAGAGACAGACAACCAAGCACACTCACATTCACACCTACGGACAATTTACAATCACCAATTAACCGAAGCATGTTTCTGAACTGTGGGAGGAACCCGGAGAACCTGGAGAGAACCCACGCTGCACGGGGAGAACATGGAGAAAGATCCTGGGTGTCCTCACCGGGACCTTCTAGCTGCGAGGCGATGGTGCTAACCACCGAGCCACCTGCTTGCAAAACAGTCACAAAAATGTATGCAGTTTAGTGCAGCAGAACATTTTTCTCCGTTCCTTCCTCAATGATTATCTCATGCACCCTCCTTCTTTAGCAGGCCCACAGGTTGGGGACCGTCAAGTAACCTGCACCTCCGCGTATAGAGCAGCAGATGCCGTTTATACATTATGCATCGCTGTTAACATTCTAATGCTAAAATATGCAGTCAGCGGTGGAGAAAGTATTCAGACCTCATACTGAAGTAAAAGTGCCAATACAGCGATGTAAACACACTCCGTCCTGCATAAAAAAAGTCTAGTTAGGTAAAAGGGGACACGTATTAGCGGCAGAATCTGTCCTGGTTTGGTCCCTCTGGCTTATATAATATTATATATGATGTAATAGGACTATTAACAGCATCAGTGTGTCAACAGCATGTCACTGTTGTTGCAGGTGGAGCTAGTTTGCATTAAGATGATTAATAGCAAAACAAAATAAGGTACACAAATCTGTTTTTCTTCAGTCTTTGCGCCATGTGAGAACTTTAGAGGGGAAAATCTGCTGTTTGGTGGAACTCCCTGACGTCTGAAGTGTGACCCCAAATACACTGGTTTGATCTAAAACCATGTGTTGTGTTTTATCCAATGTGGAAAATCTTTAACTTAAAGGAAACAAATAGCTAAAGCTGTCAGATATATGCAGTGGAGTAGAAAGTGCCGTATTTCCCTCTGAAATGCAGTGACGTGGAAGTAGAAAGTAGCACAAAACAGACATTCAGACGGACTTGCACTTCAACCTTTTATTTAAAATTTATCCTGAGACTTGCTTTTACAATCCGTCAGTCCCTTTTTCTCAATGAAATTGAAATAAACCAGACATTAGAGAGTCTGTGTAGCTTTTCTTCTACCTCTTCACTCGCCGCCGTAGCCTGATAAACAGGCCGACTTGCCGTTTTGTTTCACTTCGCTTATTTACTCCGCTTGAATTGCTGAGCAAATCAAAAAATGCGTGCAGCCATTCAGAGGTCTAAAAGCAGAAAGTGTCTTGTCACGATCTCAGGATTAGGTTGTGAAACTGCGGCCAAGTGAACTGCTTCACGACACCATTTTTTAATCAAAATAGTCCAAACCAGATGACACAGATTAAGGGTGTAGCTGTCGGTGCCTCAGAGTTATGGGCCACCAAGACAGCTTTGCCTCTTTAGGAATAATAAATTTCCATGACTTATGCCGTCTTTGTGTCTTACATGTTCAGCAAACCGTGATATACATCTCAGCTGGATGCTACGGAGTTGTTGCCGGGAAACAGCTCGCGTTTAAGTTATGAACCACTTGTTGCTTGGAAACCGCCACGTGTACTTCCTGTCAGCTGCTGGTATTAGGCAACACCGCAGCAAAATGAACTCAACTTGTGCATGTTTAGGACTTGTTTTGACACTGAATCTAATTTCTACAATTATTTTCAGCTAATCGCGGGACACACCCGTGTGTAAGCCACATGGTGCCGACTCACTCGGGGTCTTGTTCTGGTTCTGATACTGGTCTTAAACAGTCACAGACGATCACTGGGGTTTGTTGTGGGACATAATAAGCAAATGATTAATGAGCAGGGAAAAGCTTTCATCTGATGTACACCATAAGTATTCTGCAGGCGGCTGTGGCTCAGGTGGCTCTGATTCTGATCGTTGGCGGTTTGATCCCCGGCCCCTCCATAGTCGAAGTGTCCTTGGGCAAGACACTGAACCTGAAGTTGCTCCTTGCATGGCAGCTGAGTTGTGTATGAATGATGTACTTCGCTTTGGATAAAAGCTTCTGCTAAATGAAACTGTAAATATCCCCCCCGCATCACGGCAGTCTGTAAGTTCGTGGTCGATTAATTAGCAGAAAATGAAGAATTTAAACACATTTACTCAACATTGCATGACTTTACACATCAGAGGCTCTTGTACTTTCCGTTAGTTTCTGGGTATTTCTGTTCCTACTTTATACTCCACTACACTTTCTTTACTCTCAAAAAACTTTATGAAATGTGACAACTAATAGTAATAATTAGAATCAGAATTAAAAACAAAGGCTTGTTACTGCTAGAACACTCAAATTTCTAATTATTACTTTTGTTAATACTTCAAAATGTCTAACCATGACGTATTCTGGTGCACAAGTTCTAAAACATTTAAATATGTTCACTAACTTTTATTATTTATTCATCAGTTGTTCTGGTTGCATTTGTTTAAGTTTTGTCAGAATTTAGGTATGAACACAAATACATAAAAATCAGAATGACAACATGTAATTGGTTGTCTTTTGTCGTACCGTTTTAAAATGAACTATATTCCAGATCTTCAAGGCTGTGCCTCCTGACTGTAGCTGCATGTAGGTCGAGGTTAAAGGTGACTTCATCGGTACCCGGAGGTAGATTTGTTCTGCAGTAGCAGGAGAAGGCATCTAACAACTCACACAGACATTGACAAGTACTCGCAGGCTCACTGGACTGGATTAAAAGTGAAATAAAAATAAAAGAACCACTAAAATGCAGATATGACAACCCCTGTTAAAAGCATGATACAAAGGGACAATAAATAAGTAAGATCAGGTCGGGCTTTTGTTAAATAGAAATAAAAATAAGACAGACCTTAAAGTAAAGTGCTCTATTTAAAACAGCAGCAGGAACAAAGCCGTTCCTATAGCGTCTAGTCCTAAATCTTGGGACTTTAAATCTCCGTCCAGATGGCGGGAGCTGGAACTCTCTGGCTATGGGACGGGTCACTAGCTTCAGTCGTTTATTCATTTTAACCGCTAAACGTCAGTGAAATGCCTCTTTGATGTTGTCTTCTTTGCCACGTTATTGGTCAAACCGGTGTGTGATGTCTGTCTCTTTTCTAAACACGTTCCAGCCTCCGCCGCCGTATGAAGCCACCTCTCCCTCCGCTCCATCTGTGCCTGCACAGACTCCACCCAGCAGGACGACGCCCACGGAGCCTCGCAACTATGGCTCCTACAACTCTCAGGTATTCACGCTGTGATGTGGAAACACTCGCTTCAGGTGAAGGTTCAGCCTCCGACCCCAAGCTGGATGCACGGAAATGGGGTTGCTCTCATATTTTAAGAATCAGAAATGTGATGAATCAACCCATTCAGTTTCAGTTTCTGTAGCCTGATCCTAGAAAAACCAGCAGGACAAGCTTCTTCATGGTTTCCACCTCAGTCATCAGCAGACTTCTCTGAATAACTCATTCAAACCAGTAGCCCACCTACTTGTAGCTCTGTATTGAGACCTCTGCTCGGTACAAACGCTGATTCATGCAGTAAATTCACACATTTTCAAAGCCTCTCCTCCGTGAATCTCTTTTGATGCTGAGCTTTTTTAAATTTTTTTTTTACATAACCCTTTCCATTATTTACGACCCAGACAGAGCCTTTCTCTTTTACATTTTGTCTCCCCGTGTTAGACTGTGGTGAATGCTACCACGGCAGAACTCCTGAGGAAGCAGGAGGAGCTGGAGAAGAAAGCCCAGGAGCTGGAGAGGAGAGAGCGGAAGCTTGAGTCGCACAGCCTGGGAGCTGGAGCCTGTAAGACATGGAGGAGATGAAGGGAGAAGGGATGCAGATTAAAGGGCGATTTAGGTGAAATCTAAAGCTTTAGTGGCAAATTGTTCCTGGTTCAACCTTTGGTAATGTCTCAGGTTATGTCTCTGAATCAGATTTAGCTTCATTAGCCAGGTGTTTGTACGCATACAAGGAATCAGACTCCTGTGTTTTTGCTCTAGAGGTGAGGGTTGCTGGGAAACAACCTCACGAATATTTAAACAAACATGTAAAATAAGGAAAATGAGTGTTTTTCAGACGATGTGCAGCCTTAGATATGTGTAAAAGAGCATGTTTAATGTACAAAATGAAGGGTTAAATTCAGTTAATGACAATAACTATAGTGTTATTTATGTATTGCATGTTTTTAATGATGAAACCTTAATCAGAAATGTTTTGTGATCTGTAGTAGAGTAAGGGAAGAAAAGTGCAAGAGTTTAAAAATCATGCATCACCTGTGCAGGTTTCATTGACTTAAACATGACTGAATTGGATTTAATAGAGGAAATGGTTGTAGTAGAAGAAACCAGTTTCACTCATGTTGTCCCCTCCCTCTCTCTTCTCCAGCCCGTCAGAACAACTGGCCCCCACTGCCTTCTTTCTGCCCCGTGGGCCCCTGCTTCTACCAGGACATCGACGTGGAAATCAGCCAGCGCTTCCAGCGTACCGTCACCATCATGTACTACTTCTGGATGTGTGAGTTCCTGTAATTTCCCAGCATCACTGTTGTGTCATCATAATGCAGCTCTTTAGGGGTTTGAACGGTGTGAGGGTAAAACTCAGTGGTTTATGCGATCGGACCGGAGCACTGCTGACTCTAAAAGCTCCACGTGTTAGCACTTAAGACTTGCCAGTGGAAGGCAGTAAGAGCTGACTCACGCCTGTGTGACTTCTACTGAACTGTCTGGCGTAACAGCTTGAATGTTTGTACAAAGACTGTCACACTTCAGTGCTAGGTCGAGGAGTTTGGGGCTCCTGCTTCGGACGTGTACAGAAGAAGCAGCTCATTTAACTGCAAGTAAATTAACTGCTGTTAAAGCAATAACCCACACACACACACACACACAAAATCATATTAGTTCTGCACACCTTGTCACTTATACAGTGTACTGGGTAAAAAAAAAAAAAAAAAAGATAAGAGGGTTGTAAAATGATCCCTGTTTTCAGTTCAGGTTCACAAACATCACATCACAAAAAAATCAGTTTAGGTTATGACAAAGTGTCGCTTGATGCTGATTTTGAAAATACAAAGAGAAAGAGAGACAGAAAATGAACTCTGGTGAACATAACGTGAAACCAAACAGAAACCAAAACGTAATTACAATCATGACTCGATAATCCGACCCTTAACAATCCTAAACCTTGCTATCCGACAGGTTTTAAAGAAAAGTGAACAGAACCCATGAAAAACAGCCTTAACATAGCGACAGCCTTGGATTCTGACTCCGACATGATATTTAAAGTCACCAATCAGGATAACGGCGTATTATCTGACTGAACAATCCCACAGATTGGCTACGTTCACACTGCAGGACTTGATGCTCAATGAGGATTTCTTTGTGAGTTCCTTCACATTTTCAGTTAAATGCGACTTGTATGTGATCTGCTGTGTGAACGTCATACGACCCAAAAGTGTCCCGCATGCGCAGAAGAGGACACGACGACGTCACACGCAGCGAGCATGCTCAGTGTTTACGGAAGTAAACATGGATGGTAACGGTGGAGCGTATCTGCCACTCCCCCACCGCCACCGATGGTGGAAACAAAAGTGTGAGCGCTAACTAAACTAGCATCAGCAGCCAAGTACTGCCTGTGTGTTCTGGACACTTCCACCCCATCGGAGCACTGCCCCGGGGTGGAAGTGGCCCCCAACCGGGACGAATATTCTGATATTCATCATTAACTGGATCTGTGTTGTTCAGATTGTCATGACAAGACCAGATACAGGTCGCATAGGAGAAAAAAAAAAAATCTGATTTGGGTCACTTCAGCTGCTGTCTGAACGTATTTACCTTTGATGTCAACTGACGGGCCCGTGCACAAGCTCACCGGTCAGTTAGGCTGAAATCCAGCAATGCGTAGTGTTCTAACAATACACTAGTTATTATAACAACTATGAACAATAATTAACAACTAATGAGCCTTCCAGCATCAAGCCCTCCTTGTATCTCGACCTCCGTGTTGACAATCCAACAGCCTTGCTATCCTACATAAAAGAAGGTTTTACATTTAATGTCGGATTATCGAGTCACGACTGTAAATAAAAATGTGTAAAATCTTGCGTATAGAAGAATACACGCTGTTTTATTTTACTGCTGAATGCTGCAATACAGATGTTACTCTTTACACGTGTGACCCACCTGCAACTGCTTTAAGAAATAAGTTAAAGTAAGATATTTACTCTTAACATTGTGTTCAACATTAACATCGTATATTTTAGTTTCTCAATATTTTCTCAGTGGTTTGAAGCTGCAGTCCTTTTCAAATCGACATATTGATTTTCTTAATAAAATGAGAACAAGAAACAAGAACGAGAGGCAACGTAAGATTAGAAAACGATACCAGCAGGGGTCGAGCTATTGAAAACAGAAGGGACAAACAAGAGGCCTTTGTTGGGCAGCTGATGAAAGCCATGATGTATGTGGACGAACAGATCCTTGAAGAAACTGATGATTTACTCTTGTACTCAGTTTAAACTCCAGCATTGAAAAAAAAAATAAAAATGGGATCGTAAAAAAAAAACAAAAAACAAAAAAAAAACAGATTATAAATAAAAAATGGGTTTGACATCTTCTGGAGTTCTGAGCCTGGAACAACCAAAGGAGCCGGTTCTAAACCCAGCGGTAGGCAAAGAGAAGCAGCAATAAATGGCTTCATATTGCATCAGCCAAAATCCTGACAAATTGCCTTTTTTTTTTCCCAAACGGGGGGAAGGGTGGCTCGGATTCAGAGTTTTTATCCCTGAACTCACACTGCACTGCTTTTCCCTTTTGTTCATTCATCTCTTTGTTGGCTGTGTCTCCTCTTTGTTTGTTTTAATCGCTCTTTATCTAGTCTGCACTTGCACGCTGCTCTTCAACCTGATCTCCTCCCTGGCCATGTTCTGCGTGGATCCCTCCGGTGGTGTTGGCCTGGGCCTCGCCATCCTCTGGGCCCTGCTCTTCACTCCCTGCTCCTTCGTCTGCTGGTACCGACCCGTGTACAAAGCCTTCAGGTGTGCATTTTTTATTTTTTTTAATCCTCCTCTTGCTGCTTGGTTTAGTTTTTCTTTTGGCTCCGTCTGCGCTAAACTGTTTCTCTCTCTTCTAGGAGTGACAGCTCCTTCAACTTCTTCGTCTTCTTCTTCGTTTTCTTCGCCCAAGTGGTCACCTACGTTATAATGGCCATCGGCATCCCTGGATGGGGCTTCAGGTGGGTCTGAGTTCTGTTTTTTACTTGTTAAATCCTGCATAAAAACACAGTCTGGATGAAGTAAATAAAATCCCCTGCTCGTGCACAATGCTCAGCAGCCATGAGGCTCTTTTAATGTCATAGTGGTGAAAACACAGGTGTAACTAATACCACTAACAATGGCTTTGTTCCACTTAAGTGTCCCAGTAAGCCAAGTGATGCAAGCAAAGCCCCGACACTACCTAATTAAATAGCAGCTATTATTAATGCGCAAGTCTGCTTAAGTTGAATAAGGCAGGAGAACTTTTTCCAGTTGATGGTTGTCAACTAAACACAGTGTTCTAATTTAAGCTCAATGCTGACAGAACAAAGATAATGAGCGCATAACAAGCGGCAGGTGTAAATACCATTATCAGGATAACTTATTCAGACACTGATTGCTTTTTAATTCCAAGTGCAAATTAGAATATTAATTGACTTCTCTCTTATCGTGTTTTTAAATCTCTCTCTCTGTCTTCGTTTTCTCCTCTTCCCCCTCAGCGGCTGGATCGTGAGCCTGGCTGCTCTGAGGACCAGCGTCCCTGTCGGTGCGATCATGATGATAAATGCCATCCTCTTTACTGCCCAAACCGCCATGGGGGTTGTCATGCTGAAGAAGGTGAATAAATGTGTTTACACTCGGGGGAAATTCACAGGTGCTGGCTCAAATTAAAGGCTGCGCTTTTTGACAGGGTGTCAGTCACGCTATCCCTGTATGCGCTAATTAAGAGGATATTCAGAGTTGGACCATTAAAAACAGAACGTCCTCAGAGCGTTAACACGAGTGTGTGACTTGTATGGAGTCACTGGGTGTGTTTACCTGAAAGTTGGTTTCCTGGTTTTGATCTAATTTGAGTAGAGCTCGTGTCCCGCTATACGTTAGCATGAGAGTATTTAGCAGGTTTTTGGTGTTTACATGCCACAACATCTTTATTTCTACTCCTCCTGCTGCCATGTTGTGGTTTCTCAAAGCCAGCTAGATGCTAATCCAGATGCCTGTAAAGTTGAAGCAGGGTTTGGGCTTAGCGAGGTAACTTCAGGTTGGGTTTTTATCAGGGCTGTGACGATCATTTACTTTACATAGTAGCTCATGCTCTAAACCAGAGATCTCCAGCTCCGGTCCTCGTGAGCTACTGTCCTGCAGGTTTTAGATGTTACTGCAACACACCTGACTCAAATTAATGGATCATGAACAGAACTTGTGTTGAACTTGATAACAAGCTGTTGGAGATCCCAACAGCTGAAACCCAACCTGAAGTTACCTCGCTAACCCCAAACCCTGCTTCAACTTTACAGGCATCTGGATTAGCATCTAAGATGGTTTTGAGAAACCAGGACATGGTAGCAGGAGTAGAAATAAAGATACTTCAGGTTGGGTTTTTATCAGGGCTGTGACAATCATTTACTTTACATAGTAACTCGTGCTCTAAACCAGAGATCTCCAACTCCGGTCCTCGTGAGCTGCTGTCCTGCAGGTTTTAGACGTTACTGCAACACACCTGACTCACATTAATGGATCTCCAACAGCTTGTTGTCAAGTTCTACACAAGTCTGTTAGTGATCCATTCATGTGAGTCAGGTGTGTTGCAGCAACGTCTAAAACCTGCAGGACAGTCGCTCTCGAGGACCGGAGTTGGAGATCCCTGCTCTAAACTTATAAAACTCCACCTCCTGGCCAGTCATTTCTCTTTGAAAATGGCATCAGCATCACTAGAACATCCCGTGGAGCTCGGTGCATAGACAGTGAGAGGAAGGTTAGAGTTCTGCCAAACTGCCCTTGGTTTTCCCTGACCAGCATAGAAGGTTCTCAGTGATCTTTATTTTATTTTTTTGGCTGCGAACAGTTTATTCAGATCTCAGTGATGTGGCAATGATATTATGAACCTATAAACCTGTGCGTTCACACACAGACAGTTTTTTATTTATTTACTTATTCTCCTTCCTGGCTTTAGCTGCAGCAACAGTGTCGCTTTTTGCCTGTATCGTATTTTTAAACTCCTCGTATTGGTTTAGGATTACAGCTTGTTGTCCGTGTGAGAAGTGTGCAGCTCTACACCTGGCCATGTTTGCAGTTGGTCGTCTGGTGCCAACGCCGTCCCGTTTACGTGAACGCGCTTATAGCTGCATTTAGAAATCCTGGGTTGACTCGCCGAGTTGACAGTCAGCTCAGCGAGACTGTTGGGCTCAGTGAAGCCGGAGAACAAAAGCATTTCCTCGGTGCGTTGACCTTGTTTTGTAGTGCAGGCCTGTGGTTTCCGAACTTGCATGTAATACACGTAATCAGGATGTAAAAAGGGTACACATTTAAATAGTTTTGCCTCTCAGCCGGACATTCAAGCACAAATGACGTTAATGTGACCATCAGAGGCTAACTGGGGTTCAGCTTTGCTCAGGGTCAGAGATAAAAGCCTGCGATTACTCTGCTGCACCTTTGTTGGAGTCCCTGAAGAGTCAAGGGAAATATGGATGAAAATATGGGTTGAAAATGTAGGTAACAACACAAAACCTGAATGTGGATTTAGCTTTTAAATGCTATTAGTGAGGCTGAGAACGACTGAGACTCGATGAGCTCTATTTACACTTATGACCTGGTCTATGCAAATACTCTCACCGCTTTGCCCAGGTGGTCCACTTACCATGAAGGCAGCGAGCAGATAACAAGCAGGCTGAAGAATAGCCGCAATATCAGGTTGTGGGGGATCGCTTTCACCCTCATAGCGCGCATAATGCGATGATGAATTGCCGCATGTATCGGATGTCACTGTACTCTGCTCTTCCCCGCTCCAGATCCACAGCCTGTACAGGCAAACCGATGCCAGCTTTCAGAAGGCCCAGGCTGAGTTCGCCACCGGAGTCATGGCCAATCAGGCCGTACGCCAGGCAGCCGCCACCGCCGCCCAGGGGGCCTTCACCGCACCGCGATAGAGAGGAGCGACCAGGGCTGGGAGGGTAAGACGTGGGGGAGGTGAAGGGCCTTCACGGGTTGATAGAGGATCAGTTCAGTATTTATTTCCCCCCACAAGGTGATTTGAATTTAATAAACTTCAGGGCACTGCATGAGACAGGGTGGGGTTGTCTAGTAACTGAAACGTGTACAGGACCAGTTAGCTACGTTGCCAAATCAGGAGTCCACTAAGAAATCGTACAAGTTGATTCGAGAAACGGAAAGATGATGTGAAAAATAACAAGATGCTGAAGCTGCATGAAGTTTGATGCGGCCGTTCGAAGTGTCAGCGAATGCAGGGAACATGCTTTTTTATATGAAAAGACAAGATGTGTGCCAAGTGGGTTCTAGTGCTAGCCTGGATATTTACCATGTCTGTTGTGTTTCTGAGGGGCCACGTTTAGAACAAAGTGCAAAAGTGGGTCTGAACACTAAAATGTGGCTATCTTTGTATTTGATCCATGACTGCGAGGCTCAACTCTATTCAGCACTTCTTTTTTTTTTTGTTGCATAAGTGTAAACTAACAAGTTGTTTTACAATTACAAATGAGAATGCCTATTTACTGTGTTGCCAAAAAACCTCTCATACTGTAAAGATGATGAACATGTGTTGTTTTGGTTCTGGTACCTGTCACTGTTCTGTTAGTGCTGCTTGTGGTTAATATGATTATTACAAGTCACTGTCTTGGTTTTAATAAAAATATATTGCCATGCTTTCACAGTCTGCTGCTGTTGTTATGGCCTTGTCTTACTGGCAAGATAGGAAACTCCAGATTTTTTAAAATTTGAGATGTTAGGGTGAAGTGGAACGTTAGATATGGTCAGTTTTTATTACAGGTCTTCTCTTGGATGCTTGTGTAATTGTTCAACAGCACTGAGATCATTTCACTGGTCTAAGAAAAACCAGAGGAATGATTTTGAAGTAACATGATCTAATATTTGACAGTAAAATAATCCTCCATGTGTTTTTTTTTTGCAAGAGTATACCTATATAAACTTTTTATTACTGTTAACACAAGAGTTACATGGAGGATTATCCATTCGTACAACGTTGTATTATCTCGCTGTAGCATTAGCTAACTAGCTTGCTAGCTTACTAGCAAATTAGCCAAACATTCCTGTTGAATTGTTAAAATTATTTATTGTATACATTTTTTAAATTAATGATAATGGAATAAAGTTATATGGAGGATTATACATTAGTTTAAACAAATAAAACAATTTTCTGTAATATGTGAAAATTTAAGAGGACGATTGAGGAAAAAATGGCCAATGACATTAATGCTTTTCAATTCTCTAGCTTGGCTAATGTTAAATTTCTAATAAATTATGTACACTATCAGCTAATACAGTAGCATAATAGCTAACAGCATTAAAAAAAGAGGTATTATCTGTCTAAAAGTCTAACTAGCTGGCTTTGTTAAGCTAATCACGTTATATTATCTTGCTGTAGCATTAGCTAACTAGCTTGCTAGCTTACTAGCAAGTTAGCCAAACATCCCCATTGTTAAATTGTTAAAATTATTTATTGTATACATTTTTTTTTTATCAATGATAATGACGTAAAGTTATAAGTTTTGTCTCAGGCCCCTCAGCTGTGATTTAATTGGCAATAATCAAACTATTTAAAAAGAAAATTGTCTTTTGAATGTGTTATTTAACATTTATGTTGCAGTTAAAGTCAAAGCACCTTCAAAATGTGAGAATGTAGTTCATTTAACTTATAAGTAAGACGTTTGTATTGCTCAAAGTGACCCTGTTTAAGTTTTCACATTTGTAATAAAGTTGTAGTATAACATTTAGAGGATAATTCACTTGTTTATTCACTAAAGCATGCACCTTGTGTATATATTACATACATACATTTTCAATAAAAAATGTTATAAATATTTTCAGAGAATAGAGGTTCTCTTTGCCTGGTTTACCCTAAATTAATGTTTAACTGAATAATACTGTTAACTCTCAGTAACTGATGCCGTTGCTAGAAAACAGGCTGTTAGCCCTGAAGCTAAGCTAGTGTTTCTAGATGTTTTTCCATTTTCTACATCATAATCTGTATAATTTAAATCTGTACCGTGTTTTTTAAAGAGAAAGCATCACCCTCGGTTATTCTTTTATTCTCTGGCGACCCCCAACACGCTGGGAGGACACTGCATCCTCGGTGTCAACTTGTTGCTTCTGCTTCTTTCTTCTTTTTTTTTTTTTTCTTTCTTTTTCTTTTCTTTTTTTTTTCTTCTTGCAACTTGATCTTAACCGCGGCGACCAAAACAGGAGACATATCAAGCTGGTGATTCTGGCACTTAAAATTTAAGTTGATTGTGTAACCGGTGTAAAAATAACCCCCCTGTGTGCAGCGTGTTTCTAAAACCGACGGCGCGGGGATTGTGTCTCGGTCCGTGCGCAGCGGCTCGCGCTCCGGTGTGGTGACTTGTCAGCGGCTCGGAGACTTTTATGGGCTGCAGCACCGACGTCAGGACACTGCGCTTCACCGTGAAGATGGCGGAGGCTGCCGAGGCACCACAACACCGGTTTTTCTGTCACTGCTGTAAATGTGAGACAAACCCCAAACTCCCGGTGAGTCGCTTTGGAGCAGCTTCTTGTTTTTTTCTTTACTATTCCGGCCCTGCGTAACATCCACGAACCCCACAGAGCCACGATCTAACACTTTCAGATTGGTTTCATTTCTACAAAACGTGCAGGTTTCACTGATTTATTCGCATTTGTTTGCTGCTGTATATTATAATTACTGGCATCACAAACGTTGCCTCTAACGGTGGCTTGGCGGTTGTTGCCGTGCGCACAGCGACGCACTAAACTCTCAGATCGGAGCGTAAAGTCTGGCGACCCGCGGTGCCATATTTAGAAGCGCCACTGTTGGCGACTCGGTGTCCAGTTGTCTACTGTCAACTGCGTGTGAGAGACGTAAGAGGGGCTGTGTGGGTGTCACCACATGCACCACCACGGTCTTCATGATCCGCTGCATGCCACAGAGCGTCACATAGGTGCGTCTGGTTCAGCTGAGTCGTTCCTCTCTGTGTGCAGCTTAAAGACAGAACTTTTATTTCTTTGGCTGATTTCTCCAGGAGTTAAGACACTGAGCTCACAGTGGAAGTGGCCACCAGTGCGCATTTGACACCTTTCATGGCACAATTACGCACAAATATGGAGCAAAAGTGCAACTTAGCAGGAGTTCTAACACATGGCCACGCACCCCACAACTCCACCAGAACATGTGGACCAGAGCCCTGAGGCCTGTAGAGTTCTGCTTATGATTCAAAAGCTCACATTAAAATACCTTAAGGTTTAAATGTGCATCTCTCCAACTACCAGTCAAATTAGTGGATAAGTATTGAATCCTTCAATTGTTATGATCCTTAACCCCTTAAGACCTCCATATGCATGGACATCACATTTTGGGTTATATTACCACAGTAGCTAATTTCTCAATATTTATTTATTTATTTATTTATTGTATATTAATTTTAATTGTATTGTTTTTTAAAAATATTTTTAGTACATATTTTAAAATATATTTTTATTTTCTTTATTTTTGTATTATTGTTTTATTTTATTATTTTATTATTAAATAGCAAAAAGAAATTAAAAAAAAAATGCATATCAAACAAGAGCTCAGGTTTCAAGAGGTTAAAGATCAATTTAAAAATGCAGAATCTGAAAATACTTCCCTCCCTGTGTCCCCGTCCACATACCTCTGCTGTTTAAGGATCACTTATCTGGCATTGTGACTTCACTTTTTTGAAAGTTGACCTTCGAAATAACAGGAACAGTGGAGTGTGTAGCACAAGCCCAGCTAGAATCAAACAGCCACCGGGTTTTGTGGCTTTGACTATGAGTCTTAGTTCTAAAACGGAAATAATAAAGCTGCAGAAGCTCACAATGACATCTTAGATAATAGTGTGCTTCTAACTTTATGGCAGGAAAGACCTTCTCATCTGTCAGTGTGACAGTCACTTTGTTTGATTCTGTCCAGCAACATTTAATAAATGAAAAATTACAAATATTTTAAAAATCTTTTCTCTAGTTGCAGACCAGATGAAGGCTATAACTTTTTAAAACTTTTATTTCTGTTGCTGGGAACCTTTCATGGCACAACTACACACAGAAGTGCACCTTAGCCAAGAGCTTTAATATGTGACCATGCACACTTTAACTCCACCAGAAAATGTTGTGCAGGTTTAAATGTTCTCCTGGAAAATTAAATTGAAAATCTAAAGGTGTAAACATCCACTCCTCCAGCCAACAGCCAAATTTAATGAGTAAATATTGAATTCTTGATATGTTATCATCATTAAAGATTCATTTAAACTCGATTTAAAAATGTAGAATCAGAGAATAGTTCCCCCAACGTGTCCCTGTCCACATGCTTCTGTTTTAAGATGTATCGATGTTGTGACTTCACTTTTTTAAAGCTGACAGTCAGAATAACAGGAGAAATGGAGCACGCAGCACAACCCTGGCTAGAATCAAACAGAGGACTGGGTTTTGAGGCTTTGACGATGTTTCTTAAAGGTAATAATGCAGCAGCAGCAGGAGACAATAGCATCTTAGATAATAGTGTGCTTCTAACTTTATGGGAAGTGTTTAAGAAAGACTCTAATATTTTTATATTGACCTTGTTTGATTCTGTCCAGTAACCTTTAATAAATAAAGAATTTTTTTCTCTCTTTGCATCCCAGTGTAACGACATAACTTTTCAACTTTTACTTTTTTTTGCTGGGAGCTGATTTCTCCAGGGTGATTCTAAATTGTCCGTAGGTGTGAATGTGAGTGTGGTTGTCTGTCTGTAAGTGTAGCCCTGTGATAGACTGGCGACCTGTCCAGGGTGTCCCCTGCCTTCGCCCTAAGTCGGCTGGGATAGGCTCCAGCCCCCCTGCGACCCAAGTGAGGATTAAGCGATGTATAGATAATGGATGGATGGATGAGTTCTCCAGGAGGTGAAACACTGAACGAACTGAGCAGCTACTGGAGCTCAGTTTCTGTGCACCTGACACTTTAAATTCTGCACAGACAAAGAGTAAAAGTGCACCTTAGCTAGGATTTAAAAACTAATAGGGCCGTGCAGCCCTTAACTCCCTCAGAAAATGCTCAGCAGACCCCAAAGTGCCTGCAAATTTCTATTTATATCTGAATATTCACACTGAAAATAAAATCTTTCCACTCCTCCGTCCAAATTGTGGCCAAATATCGAATCTTTCATTTGTTATGATTCTAAGCGATGTCAGTTTTAAGGTTTGTTGTCGTGGTTTATGTGCTTCTGTTGGGGAAAAATCTCTTTATTTTGTCTGTAGTTTTAATTATTCACCAGCCAGAATCAAACCAAACACTGTGACTGTGTGCAGAGAGTTCTGAAAAGGTATTATTAATGGTCAAACATCTGTGCCCGACCACGTCGGTGCTCTTAAACCCCTGCACCTCGCTTCTACAATGCCTATAATCATAAAATAAAATGAGAAATTTTAGTGTCCACGTTTTTTGGCCATGATGTGAGGCATTTCTTTTCTCCTTCAGGATTTCGTTTGCCCCAGATGTGACTCTGGCTTCATCGAGGAGGTGGCTGAAGACTCCAGGTACTGCTCAGCTTTGGTGCTTTAACGTGTTGTTTTTCATTTTTTAAGGAGAGAAACTCACTTTCTGATTCATAAAGCGAGTACTTAAATGCCTAGATAAAAGCCTGGAGTGTCAGTGGTTCAAACTTTTTGAAAACACAAGCTCTTCATTTGCACTGCTGACAGATTTCTCTTTTCTAGTCTCCTGCAGGACAGCGCAGCACCAGCGACCAGCGACGACTCAAACTCATTGTTCTCAGAAGTATGTCCGAACAAATGGCATTTTAATCAGAACATTCCTCCTTCTCTAAGGATTTGTTTGACTCTTTGCTTCTCTGGTCTCTCTCCAAGTTATGGCAGCTGCTGTTTATGGAGCGCTCTGCCCTGCTGTCGCATCCGCCCTCCTCCGAGTCCGACCCAGGTGACGGCGAGCAGGTATCTGCAGGACAGAGCCGTCCTTCTTCGGCCCCGCCGGGCGCTGCCGAGGCCAGAGAACCAGAATCTCCCGCCAACCCTGATCAGGAGAGGTCGCCCAGGCCTGAGCAAAGGCCTGCAGTGGAAGGGTGTGTGGACACGGTATACAGAAACATCAGCGAGACGGTTTTCTGGTTATTTTTCTCTCTGTCTCCGTTGTTACCGTAGAACCAATGACTAATGACATCTGGTTCACACCTGAACAGCACAGTTTGTGTTAATAGATAGAAAGGTTTCCCAGGAACAGCAACAAGATAAATTTACTACCAGTAAATTTGCAATCGTAAAAAAAGAAGAAAAAAAAGAACCGTGTGTATCAAGGCAGTCTTAAGTTTCCAGTGACTCCTACAGCTCTTAATGTTCGATTAGTGAATCATTAAAGCATATGATGCATGAAGCTTCTTTCACAGATTTGTTTTGAAAAATCTGTTGAGTCAAAAATATACATACAGCAACATGAATGATGAGTTTTGATGTAGAAAGTTGTTAGTGGCCTCCTCTCTGTTAGTCTGAGGCTGTTTTGCTGCCAGTGGAACAATAAAGGAGGAGAATTACCTCCACTGGGCTGCACGGTGGCTCAGTGGTTAACACCGTTGCCTCGCAGCAATTAGGTCACCGGTTGGCGTCCCGGTGAGGACACCTGGGATTGTTCTGCGTGAAGTCTCCATGTTCTCCCCGTGCAGCGTGGGTTCTCTCCGGGTTCTCCGGCTTCCTCCCACACAGTCCAGAAACATGTTGAGGTTAATTGGTGATTCTAAATTGTCCGTAGGTGTGAATGTGAGTGTGCTTGGTTGTCTGTCTCTAAGTGTAGCCCGGTGATAGACTGGTTACCTGTCCAGGTGAACCTGCCTTCACCCTGAGTCAGCTGGGATAGACTCCAGCCCCCCATGACCCTAGTGAGGATTAAGGTGTAGAGATGATGGATGGATGGATGGAATTATCTCCACATTCTTAAGGAAAATCTAAAATCATCAGCCAGAAGGTTGGATCTTGGATGTAGTTGTGTGTTCTGATAAGACAATGACCCCAAACGCACATCAAAAGTGGTAAAGAAATCTGGCTAGAATTGGTCTCTTCGAAGTCCTGACTTAAATCCCATCAACAAACTGTGGACGGTGCTGAAGAAACAAGTCTGTGTCAGAAAACCAACAAATCTAGTTGAACTGCAGCACTTCTATCAGGAGGAGTGGTCGAATATACAGCCAGAAGCTCTTAGGCGGCTCCCAAAAGTGCCGAGCTGATGAGAAAACAGCTAAAGGACATTTAACCAAATATTAGTATTGACCCAGCAGATTCTGTCATATTTCCAGAAGACCTGTAATAACTCTAGGATCCAACCAAAATGCTTGATTGTTTTTTGTGACAAGGACACAAACGTTTCAATTATTTTATTATAGAAAGTTCAAACTTATAGGCATCATTGGAAACTCTAGACTGCCACGATATAAATAAGCTTTTATTCACAACTATATGTATCGGTTCTTTATATAATCAGAGAACACTTATTGGTTTTAAAAGGAGACTGAACTGTTAATATAACGTATGTAGTCGTGAAATGTTTCCCATTACAACAAGATGAAAAGATAAAAATGTGCCTTTTTTTTTAAACACGCTGGCTCTTAAAGACCAACTCTTGAGTAATATGTGACTGTAAAACGGCCTGGTTATTGCATTAGCCTGATGGAGCTGGGATCTCTGTCTAATTATTTGATATTTACTGCTGCGAGTCATTACTCTTCATCTCAGGTTTACTGTAAATACTACAGAACATTTAATTAACGGGAACGGCCTCATACATCAGCTGATTTACTAACTCAAATAATAGAGTATAAAACGAAGGTCTGAAGCTGTTGAGTAGACGGTGAAAGTCCTCTGAACGCTCTCTAACCAGACATCTCTGCTCTCTGTTCTCGCTCTTTCAAGGATTGTGCAGCAGTTCTTGGCCGGCCTGTTTGCCAACAACGGAAACCCCGGTGCTGCACCAGCTGCACTGTAAACGCCTTTTAATTCTCGTTTCGCATCATTTGCTTCTGACTTCGTCTAACGTTGTGTGACAACCTCCCCGCCTCATGCTCTCTCTTTCTCTCGCCCTTCTGCTCTCTTTCGGTTTCCCTCTCAGATCCAGCATGCTGCAGTTGCACTCGAACCCAGGAGACTACGCGTGGGGTCAGGGAGGTCTGGACGCTGTCATTACGGAGGTTAGTGGTGCCAGAGCTGGAGAGTATAAAGCTCTGTGACAACTTTATTAGTTTTAGCATCACTTCCTCTTCTTCTTTCTCAGCCTTTATTAATGAAACATCATCTCTTGACACACACATCTCTCTCTCTCTGTTTATGATCAAACTTGTTATTTGCTGTTTAGTTTTCATGTTTTTGCTCATTATTAGAATATTGCTGCCATACTACTTGTGTTCTCTCCTACTCATCCAGCTATTAGGACAGTTGGAGACCACAGGTCCTCCCCCTGCTAAAAAGGAGATGATCTCATCCCTGCCAACAGTTTGCATCTCTCAAGAACAGACAGGTGGGGATTCCAGCATGGCATCACATGATCACTCCAATACATCTTGTGTTTGGAGCTTGTTTTTTTTGTTTTTTTTAAATGTGGCTTGTGTGGCCGGATAGCTCAACAGTTTGGGCAGGCGACCCATGTACAACAAAAAAGAAAATCTGTAAAATAACTCTTAATTTTATGCACCAAAAAAAAGTTTAAAAAAAGTTAATTTCTTATCATTTTTCTTCTCTTAAATCTTTTCTTTCCCTCCTCCTACTTTGGGTTTTCTCCCTCTGTTTTTCTTTGCTATCTAATTTTCCTTCTGGCATCTTTCCTTCCATCTTCCTCGTATCTATCCTGTCTTATCTCCTTTCCTCCTCATATCTTTCCTTTGCTCTTTCTATGTCACTCTCCTGTCTTTCCTTCCTTCCTGTATTCTGTTCTATTCTTCCCTATTTCTACCCTTTCTCCCTTTGTATTATTTCTCCTTCTGTCTTTCCTTACTTCCTCATAAGTTTGTTGACCTCCTCCATCCTTTCCTTCTTATATCTTTTATTTACCTCATTCTTTCCTTTCTTCCCTCATCATATCTCTCTTTCCCTCCTCTTATCTTTCTTTCCCATCCCCCCTCTATCCTTCCTGGCCTCCTTCAATCCCTCCTTTCCTCCTCCTTTATTGCAAAGATAAGGCCACTTAGCCATGAAGGACATAGTTATGAGCCACATTAGTAACTCATAATTAAATGCTTTTTGGCTCGGATGCAAACTGCTTCTAAAAAGGCGGCCGCTCGCGAAGGTGCTGCAGACAAATGAATGGCGTCACTCAGCTCACAGTATTAGTTATACATTTTAATGACTTATTACTGTTAAAACGTGATTTATCGAGGGCTGGAGCACAAACGTGTTACACTGTAATAGCCTGTAGGCCTGTCGTGCACATTTGAGCTCTAATGAATCATCACGACACACTCTCTGATACTTTCTGCTTCTTTCCTTCTGTTTCTTGTTTCTTCCAGATTGCAGACTCGAGTGTCCAGTTTGCAGGGAGGAGTATTCATTAGGGGAGTCTGTCAGGAAGCTTCCCTGCCTCCATCACTTCCACAGTGAATGTATAGTGCCGTGGCTGGAGCTGGTAAGGACGAGGAGTGGGAATGAGGGCTTTGAAGGAATGTAATCAAAAAGGTTTTTTTTAGTGTTGATGCAGTTTTTTAACCAGAAGGTGATGCTTTCCTCACGTTGCAGCAGATAGTGTCGTGTCGCTTAATTTCTGCCGACTCGTTAACAAGTTTTCTCTCGTCTCACAGCATGACACCTGCCCAGTGTGCCGGAAAAGCCTCGATGGTGTCGATAACAGCCTGCTGCCCACATCAGAGCCCCCAGAGGCCCGGTCCATCAGGACGGAGCAACAGGAGAGGCAGGCGATCTGAGAAACAGGCCAACGACTCTACCTCCTCGTTCAAGCTTCTCACCTCAGGCCTTCCCCTCCACACCGACCGCTTTTAAATAAAAACACGTCACACGTAACGTCCCAGTCACACTCTGCAAAGGACCTTTATGTTTTCTACTCCGGCACGTTCACTGTTTCGATGCTACACCACGCACAACAGGATGGAGCAGTTTGCTGACGAGACGCGGAGGCGACGCGTCCTTCTCGCTGCGCTGCCCTTTTAGGTGCTTTTCTGAATGACTGACTTTGATGTCATGAACTAATCGCCGCCGAGCTGCCAGTGGTTGTCAAAATGACGGGAGCTCACAGAGTTATGGAGTAACACGTTCGTTATCCTCTTGGTAAGACAGTTTCTTAATGCAGTGTTTTGATAACTTTTTACCAAAGCTGTTATTAAAACTCAAACCCTGTGACCCTCAGCCTCTGCACCTTCTTTCATTTCTCTAATTCTGTGGGATTCAGGGGCAGATATGAACAAATTCAGTACCGTCAGATCTTGAACCTTCAGATACTTAAAACCCTAATATTAACTTGACTTCCATTTTAAATCAGCAGTCTCCTGTATGTAGCCTAAAAAACAATATTATTATTGATAGTACTGATGCAAGTAGTAGTTGATAATCAAATGACAGTTTAGGTAAAGAAGAATAGGTAACTGCAACTGATTATTTTTATTCTTCATTTTGATTAGTTTGATGATAACATTTGATAAATTGTCAGAAAATGAAACTGCCCATCAGCAAGACCCTAAAAGACTTGAGTTTGACTATATGTGTCTAATCCAATCAAATTTAGTTTAACAAAACATAGTAGAATATTTAAAGACAGCAGTTTACAGTATGTAGCTCACACAACAGAATATAAATGGTAGCTTGTGGGTAACGTAGGAGTCAGTAACAGATGATGAAATAATAATAATAATAATAATATTATGTGTGATAATCATTCGATAATCAAGTAATTCATTAACCAAAAATTATTTTAAATAATTGCTGGTTTCAGGTGTCAAATGTGAGTAAATGTGTACATCTATACTTGGCAGAAAAATGCTTAACAGACTGATTAATAATGAAAATAATCACCTGTAGTCCAAATAGAATAGAGTCGGTGAAAGTGACAGTCTATAGCTTTGCAGCTGATTGTTTTTCCATCAGTATATCGACTGTCACCGACCCTCCAAAGGACTTCCTAATAAATATTTCATACATTAATTATATCGCTGCAAACTGTGTAACCTGTATTGTATAGAAAAAGATATTAACAGATGGATCAATCATACAAAAATAATCAGTTGAAGTCCATTATTTACAAAGAAATTTAAACAATTGCTGGTTTTAGGTCCCAAATGTGAGAACTCTGCTCCATATGACTGCACAACGTATATCTATATTTTATTATTATTTTTAAGTTCTTTAGCAGCAAGCTCTTGTTTGATATGCATTCTTTATTTATCTTGACTGTTTCATCTGATCAAATAGTAAAGAGAATAAAAAATATACAGAAAATAAAAATATATTTTTAAAAAATGTATAGAAAAATGTAAAAATAATGAAATAAAATAATAGAAATAATAAAAAGAAATGAACTACTGTGGTAATATAACCCAAAATGTGATGTACATGCATGTAGACGCCAGGTCTTAAGGGGTTAAATACATCAACTGATAGATTGATCAATAATAAAAAATAATCAGTTAAAGTCCGTTGTTCATAAAATACATAAATGTAAGAACTCTCCTCCATATCATTGCACATTTCATTTTTATTTCATTATTATTTTTAAATACGCCAATCGACAGATTGATCAATAATAAAAGTAATCAATTAAAGTCCATTATTTACAAAAAAATATGAAAAATTGCTTGATTTAGGTCCCAAATATAAGAACTCTGCTCCATATGATTACACACTCTATATCTATCTCTCTATGTATATATTAATAAATATGCCAATTAAGATTGATGAATTATAAAAACAATGAGTTGAAGTCCATTATTTACAAAAAAA